ATCTACCTCACGAAAGTTCATTCCGCCGTTGTGAGCATTTACCCACCACATTTTGACCGGGGACCTACATGATTTTCCACTTCTCCTTCACTTTAGATCACTTTACTCATTGCTCCCCAGACATTCATATATGCAACTGACGCTTTCGCGTTACTTTTCCTTTATAAATACGCATTCCGTAACAAGTCCCATATGTAAATAAGTATGCGCATATCGCATGGTCATTTGCCTATTCGTGCCACATCCTGGCTAGCCGAATAACCTCCTCGTGGTGCCAGCTGGGTGGTTGGGGTTTAACCCGTTCCAGCAAATAGTTCGGCGGCAGTGTTCCAGGACGTGGTGGGTTTTCGCCTGGCAAGCGTTCTCCCTATAAAAAGCCACAAATGTCTGCTTATCAACACTGTGACGTGGCGGATGTGACTCGCCACAAAATAAAGTCACTGGCCCGTGGATATCCGGAAAGTGCTATCCAACCCAAGGAAGTCAATCGCTTATGCTCACATTCCTGACGACAACAAACAGGCAAAAATGCTGCGGCACATTTAAAGACACAAGCTACATTCATACACAAATACATACGTATATACACTCATACACTTACATACATTGTCATGCCAAACATGTACTTTTGTACATTATTGATCACACTGTTAGCTAAACATTATCATGCCTGTAAAGGTATGTCTCGCATGGTCGAGAATAAAAGTTTATTTATTTATTTATTTGTATTATTCTCACAGCCATTTCCGTTCTTGTCCACCGATTTCTCGAAGTACGCTGACCTTTCTGCCCAGTCGTTAGCCAAAAAATTCACATGGGAACATTTGAGGTAAGCAAAATATTCATTTCCATTTAAGTTAAATATATCACTCTTCATATCCTCACTTGAAGTGGCTATTCTTCATTTTCCGACTAACCGAATGCACTATTTACTTATCCAACAACATAGGTCCAATTTAGACCCATTTATGCAATTGGAAACTCCGGGCACTTGCTACCAAAACTATAGTGCTATAAAAGCTACAGGATCCCGATTCCTTTATACACCCGCCACTGGTTTATTTATAGTATTTACAAATTAGTTAACTACATATCAGTATCCTACGCTACCATTATACTCACGGCTGTGCCGGTTGATCTCGGCCCGCAAACACGTTCCTGCCAGATGTGAGAGTCCTGGTCCCGTCATCCACCACGGCTGCTTTCGCTAGAAGCGGGAAAATGATTAACCACCGTAACCCATTTAAACTGTTCACTTTGTTGATTTCTAATCCTCAGCATATTAACAATGGCTGGCCGAACAACCTCCTCGTGGTGTCAGCTGGGTGGATTGGGTTTACCCCTTCCAGCAAATAGTTCGGCGGCAGTGTTCCAGGACGTGGTGGGTTTCCGCCTGGCAAGCGTTCTCCCTATAAAAAGCCACAAATGTCCGCTTAACAACACTGTGACGTGGCGGTTGTGACTCGCCACCAACTAAAGTCACCCATTGCTTATCCGGACGACCGCTTCAAGTCCACAGCCATCAAGCACCCATTAACACTGGACACACGTTCAAGCACGATCAAAAAGACTGGAATACATTTACGAACTCCATAAACACGGCTAAACACGCCCACATACACACTTACATACATTTATATATCAACCTATGCGACAATCTCATTGATCCATTGTACATTGACTGATCACAGTTTGTACTCTTAACATGATCATGTCTGCGCAGACGTGCCTCGCTTAGTCGAGAATAAACATTTTATTTATTTATGTATTTATTTAATCTAACAATAAACACACATATGCGTCGGAAGACCCAAACCGTTCATTTATCAGCATACAACATTGCTCGTCTCCAATACGACTATGGTTAAGCGGACTCGGCCGCAGCTAATCCCAAGAAGCTTTTTGCTTACGTTAAAAGACTCAGCGGGGCAAAACTGTCTATACCAGCTTTATTGCGAGCAGACGGGACCCGTACGCAAACTGACTATCACAAGGCTTGTATGCTGAGTCATCAGTATGTTGGAGTCTTTGTTCGGGAGACCTATTTACCACAGGTTGAATTGGTTTCAAGAGTTCCAAAGGATGTTTGCTTAGCTGAATTTAGCATAACGGAGACGCAGGTCTTCGAGCTATTGCAAGGCATTAATGCCACTTAAGCTTCCGGTCCTGATTCAATTCATCCGAAGCTGTTGTATGAGTTGGCCACTGAGCTGAGTGGTACGCTCACATGCGTGTTTTCAATATCGCTGGAAAGCTGCAGCCTACCTTCGGAATGGAAGGAGGCAATCGTCTGTCCGATTTTTAAGGGCGGTGACAGCGCTCTACCCGCGAACTACAGGCCTGTCCGTTTGACCAGCTTAGCAGTCAATTAGTTTGCAACGCTGCTAAGGGATTCAGTGGATAACCATCTGAATAGATTCAACCTTCTCAGTGTTGCGCAACCTGGATTCCGCAAAGGATTTTCATGTCAGACTAATCTACTTGTAGCTCGTGAAAGCTGGACGGAAGCGGTAGACAGTGGCCACGCTGTAGACGTGCTATTCGTAGATTATTCGAAAGCTATTGACACTGTTTCACATCACCGGCTTTCACTAAAGTTGAGATCTTATGGGATATATGGTCGCACTATTCAATGGGTGTCTGCCTTCCTTGAGGGGAGGAAACAGTGCGTACGGGTGTGGCGTAGGCTTTCGCTCAGGCAAGCTGTCCTTAATGGCGTTCAACAGGGCACGGCATTGGGGCCATCTTTGTTCGCCAGCTATGTAAATGACGTGCCGGAAGAGCTAGGGGTGTCATCACTAATGTTTGTTGACGACCTTAAGTTTTGGAATACTGTGGATACCCCGAAGGTCCTGAAGCAATTCAGCGTGCCTTGGATAGGCTCTGGGAATGGTCTACAATATGGTTGCTGCCCATAAATAGGGCCAAGTGCTCTGTTCTCCGAATCGCAGCTGCAAATCCTCACACCCGATGTGTTGTCGGCCGTGGTGAACTACCTGTTGTCACTCAGCAGATTGATTTAGGAGTCGTACATGCATCAGCACTTCATTCTGGCGACAAATGAAAGAAGGCTGCTTGTCGGGGGTTTCGTATGATGTGGTTTATCCGCCGTTCTTTTGGAATCCTGACGACCAATTTGTTTGTGAAGCTATTCTCGGTATTCGGCCGACCCCACCTGGAATATTGTATTCTGGCTTGTCCACCATGTATTAACCGAGACAAAATGGACTTGGAGAGGAAGTGGACACTCGGTTAGTGCAGGGTCTACGGGGACAGACGTATCCTGAACGCTTGCTCAGTTTGGGGATGTACTCAATGCACTACCGAAGGATAAGAGGGAACCTGATTCTCCCTCATCGTATTTTGACGGATAAGATTGGCCCGGACTTGTCAAGGCTATTTAGTCCCGCTACGTTACCTAATCTCCGCGGTCACCCATTGAAACTGCACAAAACACGGTCTGATAGGATTAGGACGGAAACTCGTCTATCGCGCGGAGTTATAGATCGCTGGAATTCGCTTCCAGATCACGTGGTTAGGGAACCTACGGTTAAGGATTTGCGAGGCAGCTCGATGCTCTTGGGTGGCAACTCCAAACCATTCCTGTTTCCTAATTGACCCACCTTCACTTTTCAGTTCTTTTTAGAATGATTCAAATACCTTTATATTCTAATTGCTTAGCTCTTTCTACTTTCTCATTGCGCCTTCTTAGTTTGCTTTTTTCTCTTTGTTACTTCACGTAACCGGCCTAGCAGGAACTGTTAGGGCAGCATACGTGGGCATTCATTGGTTGGACAGGGTGTGATGCGGTCTTTGTTTTAGGTCCATCAGTATTTCAAAGTATGCGAACTCCTAGTTCAACGACCCGCTGAAGAAGGAACACTTACGGGATAAACCTTTCGTTCCAGTCCCGCTTGATCTTGAACTTGAACGTGAAACAAAGACTCAGCATGCAAGCACGCGGTTAGTAAAGCAAATGCAGCGTACCTACAAACGCTGCACCGGTTCTGCTTACGTTCTCTGCAGGACTCGTCGTCGTTTCTGTGTTGGCTCCGAGTGGCCTCGCTCGTGGCTCACAAGGCGTGCTTGACTGAGACATTCGCGACCGCATGTGCTACAGCACCGTGCGATCGATGTCGTTGGAGTACAACTCATCGGCAACCATCGCATCCGCAATTGTCGCTTCTTCTCTGCATGCACGAGGGCTTACGCTTGCACCTGGTAAACGGCGTTCGTTGTTAGATCACGCCATGCACGCCGATCAGCAGGATCAGCCGAAAAAGTGGCTAAAACGGGAGTCTGAACGGTTTGCGCAGCATGACTGGCCCGTAAATTACCTGCTCTATATTGCAAAATGCTGTCGCTACGTGTTGTGTATAACGTCAGTTGTGTGGAACTGTAATAACGTGTAGTCAGTAGTGGTGGGAGAGAAGTTACTGTCTCGTTATTCCTACAGAGGGCAAAATCTGGGGGGAAATAAGCATGCGAAACGGACCCGCACAATTTCCAAACGAGCGACCAATGAGACACACGATTTTTGCCACTCGGGCTCTTAACGGGCGCCATGATACACTCACTGTGCGTTCGTCGTACACTGGTGCCAATAAGGCGGTAACCTCAAGTAAAAACCCACCTGCTGCCTGGAACGTTTCTGTCTCGGCATCCACGGTGGACCTCAGTAAGCCATTCCAGTCATTCACTATGAGAGGACATTAAGCCAGGTTGGAAGTACACGAAGAACCATTGGTTTGAACAGATTTAGACTGTGACCTAGTATCGAGCTCTGTCTCCTCTCACCAAAAATCTGTCGGACAAAAAGCCACATCTTGCAGACGATAAGTATTGAAATAATTAGTACCACGAATGCAAGATAAAACAATAGAGCCAAAAGACGAACCCATGAACTGAGGAAACCACCTCCGGCAAACTACTGAATGAAGAGACGCGGAAATAGGGAACTGATCGAGGACACTGCGTGTACTACTAAGTGAGTACTACGCGGTAACTCGATTTTTTGGCGTGCCATTCTGATCGAGCTTTTCAGCTGAAATAACGTGGAAAACAGTGTTTGAATAAACACTTGAAACGAAATTTGACTTTTGTCAAATTTTCTCTGATCCAAGATATCTTGGATCGATTAAATTGGTACTGGCCAAAGCGTCTTTGGCGCTTACTGGTAATTTTTCCGGTTGTTCCCAGTTTTAATCCCGTTTTGCACCCTGTTTTTGTCTTTTTATTGCGGTCGTTTTCCTATTGTATACGTGTTGTAATTCTAATCTGTTTTCCACATGAACATGGCTGTCTCGCTAAACACCGAGACGGATGGACCTATGGGGTCCTCGTTTGATGATTCTACTGCAGCTTGCGGACAGGTTAACTGTTCAGAGCCAGTAACAGATGCATCTGGTGGTATGCAGTGTGACGTCTGCTGCCGCTGGTATCACGAAAGCTGTACCGGCCTACAAGCTGATCAGTACAAAATGCTATCATCAAGCGTCCACTTTCTTTTCAGCTGTGCTGAATGCTGCGCTAAAAGATCGACGCGCCTGGCTGTCACCGGTGCTAAACTTTCAGCGTTGGCTTCAAGGTTGGCAGATGTTGAGTTGGCGATAGCTAAACTCGCCTCTATTGCTTCGCTCGATACGAAAATGGATTTGATTTTAAAATCCCTAAATATTTCGTTTGAAGACACAGCAATAGCCGGCAACATTGCTGACGATCCATCCACTGGAGTCTGTCAATCGGTCATAAAGTCGCACATCCTACCGGCCAATCCAGGTAGCATTGCTGGCGGTCCTCATGATCCGATCAAAGTGAAGAAAAATAGGGTGCGGAAACACCAAAAGCCCTCTGCTAAACCCAGAGAAATAGTTGCCACGGCATCGAAAGAGATGCCGTCTTTGACAGTCATAAACTCGTCTGACGATTGCACACAGAACTTTCCACAGACGCTGACTGTCTCGGCCGCCAGTGAACCAGCCTGTTCTGACGAAATGCTGGTAACTGCTCAATGCGTTACAAAGTCAACGGCCCCTGCTCCAGTGAGCCAAAAGAAGAAGCGGACAAGATCTGCTCGTAAAACTTCGAAGGGGCTTGAAGACCCAGGAACCAGTAAGACGCCGGCAATAGAGCGGAAAACCTACGCTACCGTTGCTTCGGCGTCGTTTGGGAAGCCAGGGACAGTCCCACCGCCAGTGGTGAAAACAGCTGGTACAGGTGTCGACTCCAAGGCACGTGGGGTAAACACTCCCCGTCGTGCCGACTCTTTCACTGATAGTAGCGTTATATTCCGTAACGTTACTGAATCTGAGGCCGTTCTCCCAAGGGAACGCATCTTGGATGACATCAAGTGGCTGAAACTGTGTGTCAGCAAGCTGCTTCCACCTGGTTTCCCTGGTGTCACTGTCAGAAAGCTGACCAGATTGGGGAACGTTCCCGTCGCTGCGCCAAATCCACGACCCCGACTACTTCGCGTAGTCCTTTCTACCCCGGAGGAACGCAAATCGTTACTGCGATTTGCATTCAAACTTAAGGGTAGTGGTGTCAGCGTTCAGCCGGACCTACCACTGGCAGATAGGTTGAAGTTAAAGGAGGCTATCAAAGACCTCAAAACTAGACGGGCGGCTGGTGAGCAAGGCCTCCGTCTGGTGGGTTTTCAGGTGGTCAGCCGGAAGTTACTTTCCGCCCTATCAGAACCAATCCTGATGGCGCACGACCCAGGGATGGTCGTGCCGACTTCCTTGAGGTAGTACTTAGCAACGTGCGTAGCCTAAGGAACAAGGTGCACGAGTTGGGTCTACTTGTAGACAAATCTCGTCCCGACATACTTGCTTTCACTGAGACGTGGTTGTCTCCGGATATCACGGACGGTGAGGTATATTTACCTGGCTACGCGCTGCTTAGAACTGATCGCTCCGTTGGTCGCCAAGGCGGAGGCGTTGTACTGTATGTGAGCTGTAACTTAGATGTGTTGAGGACTTGCACATTCCAGTCGTCGGATCAGACTGTTGAAGCCCTATCGGCTGTTTTGTGCACTTCCTCTACCCAGTTTACAGTTATAGTGATATACAGAAGTCCTGGAAGTTCCTCCAGGGGGATACTTGACTTTATTCGCACTCAGTCTGCGAATAAGTGTTTAGTTCTAGGGGATTTCAACCTCCCGGAAGTCTGTTGGGCCGATCTTTCTTGCAATTCGGCATTAGGAACATTCGGTGCAGACTTCCTTGAACTGACTCTCCAAGTGCCTTTGCACCAGTTCGTTGACTTTCCCACTAGGTATATGGACAACCAAATACCATCTACTTTGGATTTGGTTTTCGCTAAGTCCCTGGACTTCGTGACTGACGTTTCATGCGGTGCACCTCTAGGGTCTAGCGATCACGCATGCATATCCTTTCGATGTGCTCTTTCAAGGCACCAAGAGACCGCTGTTGAATTACTTCCGAATATTTGGCGGGCGGACTTTAGTGCAATGCGAACTAAGGCTTCAGTTCTGAACTGTGAGATCTCGATGGCTGACTCTGTCCAGTTAGCCTGGGATAAATTTAAGGCATACCTTACGGAGGTTTCCACTCCCTATATTCCACTCATGAGGAAAAGAGGGTTAAGGGCACAGCCTCCATGGATAGATACCACAGGCAAGTTCCTACTCAAGAAACGGTCTAGATGCTGGCGAACCTACCAAGCAGCTCCATCAGCCAGTACCTATGATAGTTATCGAGAGAATAGAAATAAATGTAAGCAACATCTCAGAACTGCTCGTCTCCAATACGAGCAGGGTTTAGCGGACTCGGCCGCAGCTAATCCCAAGAAGTTTTTTGCTTACGTTAAAAGACGCAGCGGGGCAAAACTGTCTATACCAGCTTTATTGCGAGCAGACGGGACCCGTGCGCAAACTGACTATGACAAGGCTTGTATACTGAGTGATCAGTATACTGGGGTCTTTGCTCGGGAGACCTCTTTACCACAGGTTGAATTGGTTTCAAGATTTCCAGAGGATTCTTGCTTAGCTGAATTTATCATAACCTAGACTCAGGTCTTCGAGCTACTGCAAAGCATTAATCCTTCTAAAGCTTCCGGTCCTGATTCAATTCATCCGAAGCTGTTGCATGAACTGGCCACTGAGCTGAGTGGTCCGCTCACGTGCGTATTTTAATATCGCTGGAACAGCTGCAGCCTA